GAGGAGAGGGTGTGGTAGATGCTGTGTAAGTTTGCCTCATTGTAAACTAGGTTACGGATGCTGTGCCTACTCCATTGGACACGCAGTGGACATGATTGCTTGCGACAACCAAATTGTCCATGTATCATAGGCGTCCTCAGATCTTGGATTACTCATCCAGAGACAGCTAACTCTCTAACCGATACTTCGACCATCGTTGTCGACGATGTCCAACGTGTGCTACAAAACAAGAGGAGAACAGGGTCGGTGGCTTGTGCGGGAATTAGTTTGTAGTGGTAGTAGACTTGCGCTGCATCTACAGCACTCCCTCATCCTCCCCCACCTGAACCCGGTGTCAAGACAGAGTCAGGAAGACCGGATGTGGGGGAGGGCGCAGGCGGATGACATGATCCAGTCCGGACCTTGGCGCTCCACTCCCCCTGGTCCACACAGCAAATGACCAGGTTTTTGACCAGCAACAACAACAATGGGGAGGCAGGCAGGGGTCCCAGTGTGTGCGACGTCTGCCGGCAATCGGGTCTGTCACCGCACCCCAGAATGTTGACGTTTGTTATGGTGCACAATCCGATAACGTCTGCCAGAATGCGGTATGGCCCCCGTGTTGGTCCAGCGCATCTGCCATGTGGCCCGTTTGGAGGCAAATAACTCTCTAACCAACGGATCGAAAAGGTACATGCTCTATTATCGAACGGAGTATTTTAATGTCAGCAGGCGTGCCTGTGTGAGATCTCTGGTCATAGGTAAAATGCGCTTCTGCAAAATCCTATCGCAAGGCTTAGATAGGGCCAGGATACCTAAACAGTCGCTGGGTTCAGCCTACCCTGCCGCTCCACTTAAACTGCATGGTGACAAAAGGTGAAATTCACCCCGGTATCACAGAAATCTCTCTACGCATGTCTAAATTCTCAAGTGACCCACTACCCTGATCAGTGCTCGCGACTTCTCAGTCCTAACTGACGAATATTGGAACCGGTAACTCGATGCTTCTGCAGCATTCCGGCACAGTTACTCTCCTCTCGCCCTCTGACTATTTGGCGGTACGCAATCATGTCTCTGTTGGGCTACAGTAAAATTTGACGCTGTGTGAGTCGTCTTGCCTGTCCACCTGCACTCATCCCCACAGCAGCTCCGTCCATCAGCTGGCTGACGCTGACGTGGGCCCCCTAAAAGATTGTATCATTCTTCTGGCTGACAGCCCAGAGATAGGACTATAAAAACATTCATATTGATGTGTGATGGGACCCTTATAGCACCATGCTCTGGGCTCGTCGCCCAGTAGTTAGAGGGCTGGACTTCTAACTAACAGGTCGCGAGTTCGAGCCTCGGGTATTCCCTATTTCGAGGCTGGGTATGACTGGCTGCCGACGGCTAATAAGCCAGAAATGGCCATTTCAGTCTCCGTTGTCTTTGTCGGTAATAACATTCTTTCTAGTACTACCGACAAAGGGAAGGGAGACTTGAATGTCCATTTCCGGCTTATTGACCGTCGTCAGCCAGCCATTCCCAACTCCGAGGTGTGGAACACCTGGGGCTTGATCCCGCAACCTCTTGGTTAGAAGTCGACCGCTCTAACTACTGAGCCATGGGCTCGTTGCCCCGTCAGTTGCGATTGGGTATATACAATGGTAGAGGAGCGCTCACCCATTGTATATACCGGATCGCAACCGACAGGGAAACGGTAATACCATTCTGCCTAGTTCACGTCCTCTTGGTTTTCCTGGCCCTTTCGCCATCTGGCAGCATGCAGTAGTTCCCCTGTTAGGCCCAACAAACAGTTCACATCGCCTTCGCTGGGGCAACGAGACTCACTAGTGCATATCTTCGTCCAAAGTCGCGTCCGGCCCGATTACAAGTCCCTGCCTGCTTCCCACCACCTGAGAACTCTTCATCGAGCTCACATTGGCTTGCATAGAAAAAAACCCAGACTGTTCTCGTGAAGAGCCTCCAAAGTGTTTTTCCCCCACTTTCTTTTTGTCGGGACTCTGTAGGGAGGGCTAAACTAGCATGTTCGCCGAACCTACCGCCTCTGACTGTATGCTCCTGTAACTATTTTCAGGAGTCATGTAGAGAATAACGTCTGAGTACTGCCTCTGAAGACCGTCTAAAGGTAACTGACACCGCCCAAATCAGTCTATTTCGCTGCCAAGCGGCCGACACACTAAATATTGTTGGAACTGTTAGGTATGTAACCTATTTTCATCTTAAAACTCCTTGCCCTTTAACAAGGTCGCTTTTTTTTAACACGTTACCGGTAGGAGGGATAACTCTGGGTATTTAAACGAATTTTCGGCAAGATCACCCTAGCTGAAGGAATATCTATAAGCATGAGTGCGGATATGCAACCCAGAAGCAAATTCATACAGTGAACGAAAAATGCAAAACAACCCATGGGCAGTAAGAAGTTGGACATTCAGACATCAACACGAATCAGCTCACACGACCGACCTCCATTCCGCTCACCAGGACATATAACAGATAGCGTAACTCATGAGCTGTGTCTATATTTGCAAAACATTCCTACTCACTCGGCAACCAACCCAAATACATCGATCA